ACATAGTAATGAGAAACTTTCTTTACTGGTTTACCCGTCATGATAATTCCTACATATTTATAGATAATGATTAAAAAAGGAAAAATAAAGATAATAATTAATAGAAAAACCATTAACAAAAAAAATACAATTCCAATTGCAATTATAAAATATTACTCCGTAGTAGCTAACTAACTAAACGCCCAATTGCAATTATTTTTTAAGTTATTAACCAAAAAACTCAAAAAATGTAATCAGTTCAATAAAAAGGAGCATATAATGATAAAAGATAATACTCCATATGTGGCTAGTGGACAGTAAGCCTCAAACGCAAACCGCACTATCAATTCATTAAATAAGGTGAAAAGGTTTAGGTTTGGCCAAAGAGTTCTTCGTCAAACTCCAGAACCAATTCCGAACAACTAAATTTAAAACTTACTCCATATTAGTTTAATTAATTTTTTTCTTTTGAGGCCCCAATAAAAAGTGAGGCCCTAGGCAAGTGCCTAGGTGAAATGGCCTCATGGCCGGCTCTGCTTTTCACTAACATACTAAAGGCTGGTTTGCAACCACTTTAAAAAAAGCACTTCTCAGCTTTTGGCTTAAAAAGACACTTATTTACCAAACACTACCAATTTTTTATTTTTCTCGGCTTTCGTGTCAAAAGTGCTTTTCCACTTTTTATACACCAAAAGCACTTATTTTACCAAACACTACCAACTTTTACTTTTCAAAATCACTTTTTTCTCAAACACTATCAACTTTTACAAATAATCACTTTTTCCAAATCACTCCAAAAGTGCTTTTTTTAAAGCAGAAGCTGTTGCAAACACTCCCTAATATGTGTATTGATGTGTACAAAAAATGTTTAATACGGGTATTAAAAAATTAGCCTTTTCACTAGGGATGAAGTACGTAAATTCGGAGATAGAAAATGAATGGAAACTGTAAACCCTATTCCATGGGGGCTTTATGCATACGAGTATAACCAAAACTCGGCAAGTTTCATTGGGAAGAAGCCCCAGTTCTTCCTAAGGCAAGGAGCCAAAGCTGCTCAAGTGTTCGGAGAAATAGATTTGATTCCGAGGTACTTCTTATTACAGTTCCGAACATCCACGATCTCAACTCTCTTTCATATCTACGCTTTCTTAAATTTATGTTGCCGTGTAGAGCTTTCTTCAACCTTTCCAGAAATTGCGATGAACATGCATTGTGTGAGGAAAGCTGTAGACCCAAAAAACATTTCCCGAAATACTCCGAGGTTAATAAAACTCATCGTTAGTTAATTACCTGATATTCGATGATAATTCCTAGAATAGGAAAAAGAGTGTCCCCGAAAATGATTTCACATATTAACGACGCGACGATTCACTCTGCTATTTCTTATTTTTGTGAAAGAGGATGCTCTTCGTCTGTCTCATCCAGTCAAAAGGCTTTTAGGTTGAAGGGAATCAGATGCTTTCAAAGCTCTGAACAGTCTCATTATCGCAAAGTGACAGCTGCTGAATCGACCAGCCAGAGACCGATTTCTCTTTATGCCATGAAAATGTCACGAGTAGCTAGAAGTGACGCACAAGCTGCATTCTTTGATTATTTGCATTACACCAGGGGATTCAATTTCCCAGATGCGGAGCATATTAGCAAGAACACTCCTTTTTTCCTTGAGAAATTGCTATCGAAGATTGAAAATGAGGAGGACGTGTCAAGGGCATTGTCAAGATTCTTGAGGTACCATCCCATCAACGAGTTTGAGCCATTTTTTGAAAGCTTGGGCTTAAGCCCAGATGAGATTCCTTTCCTACTTCCGCGGAACTTAATGTTCTTGAGTGACAACCCCGTATTGCTTGACAACCACCGGATTCTTTGTAGTTATGGTATTCCTCGAAGTAGCATTGGGAAGATGTATAAGGAAGCAACTGGGATTTTTGAGTACAACGATGGAGTGTTAGATATGAAATTAATGGCTTTTGAGAAAATGGGTTTGAGTCGATCCACGATTATACAGCTTGTGAGTTGCTCCCCTTCTCTTTTGGTTAGTGACATAAACAATGAACTTTTTCAGGTGATTGAGAAATTTAAACAAATGGGGTTTGTTAATGAGTGGGTTGGAGGTTTTTTGTCCAATGGGCAGGCATACGATTGGCGCAGAATACTTGGGACGACACTCTTTCTGAGTGAAATTGGGTATAATGAGACTCAAGTGAGTGATCTGCTCAAGGCAAATCCTGCATTGCTGTTTGAAGATTCTGGGAGATGCACTTGTGTGTTAGTTGTTCAATTAGTGAAGTTAGGACTTGAGATGGTCAAAATCCGTTCTTTGCTTTCGGAATTTCCAAATATCGTATCTTTGAAGTATGCTAAGAGGCTTTGGAAGGCAATGAACTTTCTGTTTGAGATCGGAATGGAGACTGAACCCATTGCAAGAATTGTATCTAACCATATACAGTTACTGAGTACCAATTCTCTCAAACAACCAAAGACCGTGTTGAAGCATTTCAAAGGTGACAGGCGTCGTTTATGTCAAACTATTCTGGATGACCCTCTGAACCTGTTTAGATTAGCTTCAAAGTCACAAATTAAGAGCATTGACCAGCAGACAAGTCTCCGGAACCCCGCTGACAAAACAACATTCTTATTGATGTTAGGTTACGCGGAAAACTCAGATGAAATGACAAAAGCTTTGAAAATGTTTCGAGGCAGAGGAGACCAATTACAGGAGAGGTTTGACTGCCTGGTCGAGGCTGGTTTGGACTGCAATGCTGTGGTGTGCATGGTAAAGAAGGTTCCTACTTTGCTGAATCAGAGCAAAGATGTTCTTGAGCAGAAGCTGGAGAGTTTGAAAAATAGTTTAGGGTATCCCGTGGAGTCGATTTTGTCATTTCCGACTTACCTTTGCTATGATATGGACAGAATATATCTTAGGTTTTCAATGTATGGATGGTTGAGGGAAAAGGGTGTGGCAAAGCCCATGTTGTCACTCAGCACTCTCCTTGCTTGTTCGGATAAGCGCTTCATAAAGTATTTTGTTAATGTGCATCCGGAAGGCCCGGTGATGTGGGAATCTTTGAAAAAAAGAAATCATGTGAAAAGCTGACATAAATTTAATTCCTTCATACATTTTTAGTGTACTGTTTGGTTGCTTGGTTTTGTTTTGTTGAGCGTCATTGTTTTGCATTCACACTTACAATTTTGGTACCTACTAGTGTACCCTACTACTTGGAATTTTATTTATTTATTTGTAAATACATAAGTTACTTCAAATTTCTTCAGTTGATACAACACTTGAAGATTTTTTTTACTTTGTGTGATATATATCTATGTACTGTCGTTTGGCATGTTGAACTGTCAAAGAGAACTAAATTGCATTCCTTTTGTCCCATATCATATTTCAATAGTTAACTTTTTAGTTCTAATTCTAATATTAGTCACTTGTGAGTTGTGACTCAAAATTTCTGTTATATTTTTCTGAAATATATTAATGTAATTTGATCCCATTCGTTGGACACTTTCTTAAAATGAGCTACATTTTACTTCGTATTTTTTTTTAATTGAAATTATGAAAGGAAAACCTCTTAATAAATACTCCCTCCGTCTAGGGGTGGACCGGTTCCGGTTCAGGCCTGGGCCCGGCCGGTTCGACAGGCCGGTCCGGGCCCGCACAGTAGCGGGCCGGTTCAGTTCCGGGCCGGTTGGCCCGGCCCGAGTCCATCCCTACCTCCGTCCCATTAATTTCTACCAACTTTCCTTTTTGGACTGTCCCAAAAAATTCTTCCAACTTTCACTTTTGAAAAAATTGTGTGGTTTACATTCATTTATCTTTTTCTTATACAATTACAACCATACATTTCTACTTTATTTTCACTTCCTTAATTTGCGAGCCAAGTCAAACTGGGAAGAATTTATCGGGACGGAGGGAGTAGTTTTTTTCACTTCCTCATTGAAAGATTAGCAGTAATGTCACCATACCACAAGATACTTGGTCTTCTTAATAAATAGTTTCAGACTCTTATTCCAGTTGCTAATGGGGAAATACTTCTCTGTATTTTAACTCAATCTAAACAAATCACGGAGCCACTGTGATGCAAAATACAGTAGAATATTTGCATATTAAAATTTGCATTTCAGACGAAAATATTTCTGAGGGGTTCCAGATTAACTTATAGTGTTTTTCGACCTCAATTTCAAAAATTGCATATATTGTAACTCTGAGGAGTATTTGCCAGTCTTCGATCTCATATTGGACCTAAACAACTAACTGTGCCTCTAAGTGTAACAACATTCGTTTCAAAATCTCAGTACTAAAATGGGAGTATTCTGCCATGTTCGGCTAATTATGGAATAACCACTACGTTGCATGTTTTCTATCTTTGAAGATTTTATTTTTGTTTTTACCACTTTCTATAATATAAACTCTTTTGGTAAGTTGGTTTTGTGTATGTGATTCATTATGAAAAAAAGTTTCTTAAGATGTAAAAGTATTATAAATAGTGTAGAGGACCTGGTTTTGAAAACTATGAAAACAAAGAAATAGGTTGTCAATATCTTTCAAACTTAAGTACATTTAAAAAATGAAACCATAACTTACGCTCTTTGTTACTTTTGTATTCAGAAAAGTGGAAGAAAATAGGAAGTAATAGCATTAACAATAGACAATAGAATAGATTTTTCTTGTTTATTCACCATAATTTTTTTTAAAAATTAACAAATACTAGTATATTTAAAGCAAACAGATGTTTGAAGTTCAAATTAGATCAGATCCTTTCAGATCGACGAAAAGAACAAGTCCTTGGTAAAGTAAAATAGCCCATACCATTAGTAGGATGAACCAAAATATACATATAAGTGAACACCTTTTGCTACCAAAAGCTGAAAACATACACAATATGAAACTGTGTATTTGCACGAAACCTGAGATGATCTGGCTGGCCATGGCATTACTATGGCCGAATTAAAGAAACAAATGGACAATCTACAAAGTATTATCTTGTTCTAGCCTTAATTTATTGTGATATGCCTTAAAATGGCGTTGTAGTACTCCTGTAAATACTAGTAACTTTTATTTACAAAAAAGTATTTAGTAATATACACACACGCATGCACCAATAAGAGAAAGAAATTTGATTCAAAGATCATGTTAAGAGCAAAACAACAATAAAAAACTGAGTACACGGAACTAAGCAGCATACGCATTTTTCAAACAAGCTAGCTGCTGAGTAAAAATCGTCTTTACAGCCAGTTATTACATTTCTTGACTCTTTTGGAAGTGGAAACCATCAACGTAAGCCCTCCTCCTCAGAGGATTATGGCTCTAGAAATACATTAAATTTCTTTTGGAAGTGGAAACCATCAACCAGTCTTTACAACCATTTCTTTACTAATGTGGCTTTTTTTGTACTGTTTGATTGATGTCCAAAAGAGATACTTGAATTTCAGTTTTTAGATCTGACATTTGACATCAGCGTGGACTTCAGATTTTCATAAACTTATGACCTACGGTATCTTTGGAAGAAGTGCAAGATAAAGAGGGAGATAATATAGAACATCGACTTTCAGCCATGTCTTTGTTGAATGCCCTCTGGACATCATCCTTGAGCTCCTTGAATCGCTTCCTCTTATGTTTTTGCTCCTCGGAAGTACCTTTCTCGAGATAGAATAGATCTGGTAAATCATCCTCCATGAGGTTATCCAGAACTTGCGAGCAATTAGGGAAGTAGCGTTGTCCCAGCTCCACTGCCACCCATTAACAATGTCAGTTTAGTCACTAATACGGAGTATCATTATTTTGGGGATGTATTTAATTTGGCAATTTAGACGAGCTTCTTTTAAAATATGGATAATTTAGTTCAAATAAGGGATCCAATGAATGGACAGTGACAATTAAGATTAACATTTTTATGAATTAAAAATGAGAATATTCCCTCCGTCCCATATAATCTACCCAACTTTGACTTGCACATAGAATAATAAGGTAAAAAATGTGTGGTATGATTATTTGAATTTGTGTAGAGGAGAGAAAAATAATATGAATCACAAATTTGTTACTTTACAAGGAAATGACAATATTTTTGGACAACTAAGGGGCCGTTTGGAAGCAGCTGGTCCAGCTGTTTGGGCTGAAAAGCCTGAAAAGTCTGAATGTGCTGAAGTAAAAGTGTTTGGTAATTCTTTGTCTGGAATGGCTGATTGCATGTAAAATTACCATAAGGGTATTTACTTATTTACTAATTTATAGCTATCATTTAAACGCTTAGCAATCTAATCATATTAAAAGCTAACTGACATCAATCATATTCATTTTGCTTTGCCAATTCTGAGGCAAAACCGAGCATAAGAATTTTTTTCTTTCCTTTTCATAGCCTAATAGTTTTCAAGCTGCTGAAACCAAAAAGTGATCACAGTATGATTGATATTAACAGTGACAAAGAAAGTTTTCAGGAATAAAACGCTCCCTCTTCGAGATCCTTCTTGATTTGCAGGAAGAAATCGAGCACTTATGTAAAAGTTCTAAAGATTATGATGGATCTGCGAGAAGAAGAAGAGGCCGAGCAGCTTACCTTTAATATGGAGAAGCTGAACGAGAACTCATCGGTCTGGAAGGACCAAGCTAAGCAGCGGAGCAGATGAAAGTTGGAAGCTGTCGATCCAGAAGTGGTAGAAGCGGCAGATGTATTACGGGTATAGAGAAGGGAGGGTAAAGGGGTAGTTTACCTTTTCAACGGTAAATTAATACCTTTCAGCCGATAAAGTCAGGGTATTGCTACTTTTCTGGCTGATCAGAAATATCAGCCCAAACAGCCCAATTGGCTAGTGTTTGGCACTTTTTTTATCTTTTAAGGCTTATCAGCCGATTTTATGGGCTCCAAACAGCCCCTAAATAAGGAAGTTGGCAAAGTTTAGTGGGACAGTGGGAGTATGAGTATGAGACTCTTTGTGTGTTTTGGCATCTCAGAAAGTGGCTCATGTGTACTTTTCCCTATAGTCTCTTTAGGTAAGAAGAGGAGCGACTAACTATTATGATTGATACACTACCCCTTTTCATGTACAGCATGAAATTGCACCTATGGAAAGTGGGAAATCTAAACAAGTCAATGAAATTAATAGTCTTGTTAGAATCTGAAAAAGAGAAGAATACCTGTTTTCGAGAGAGATTCCATTCTAGCAAAAAGTCTTTTCTTCTGCATTATTGGTGTCTCATTCAAATCAACCTCCCGAAAGTTTCCAAACTCAGCTTTTGCCTCTGCATTTGCGATTTCCATGGCTAGTTTAGCTTCAACGGGGAATAGTAGCCGAGCAAATGCCACTGCAATGGTTGAATTGTTTAGCTTCATTAAACCTTATTGATTCTTAAGTATTTAGGAGTTGTTTTCTTGGTTTGATCTCACCGGTTCTGATATTTTTTTAGGATGTGTTCCAATTTGAATCTTTCTTATTTGAATCTTTTTTATCTGGTTTGATCAGACTGTTGATGGTCAGGTCTAAATCATTTTTATCTTATTTGAGTTATAAGAAACTCTCTGATGGATCCAGGTTGGCTTTTGACCAATTCATAAAAAATCATAAAAAGTAATTTTATTATGATGATTGTCACTGTTGTTATTAGTAACTATTCTTATTTTTATGATTATTTGTTGTTATTGTACTGTCATAACAATCACTGTAGTAGTACTTGTCAGATATGATTAGGATAAGAATAAGTAATAATCAACCAAAATAAGGTGAATAGAACTCCACATTGAACCTAAATAAAAGGTACCTCTGTTTTCCAGGTGAAGGAGTTTGATGTGAAGATCATCAGAAGCCATGATTGGTGAAGAGGGCAGCCCATCTCCAGCCATTGGATGTTTCCTGAGAATCTCCCTCTCCAATACATCAATGCATATCCTGTCTTTATTTGCTTCCTGCCCTTGTTCCGTCTTTGCATGATAGTCTTTCGGCCTAGTTAACCTCCTACATATGCTAACCGCACTTTGACCATCCCATGTTGTCTCCAACACGCAAGCCCCCTTGGTCAAGAGGGATACTATGATTGACGGATCTTTACGCTTCGCTGCAACATGTAGTGCGGTGTACCCCCTGGAATTGCGAAGGTTGACATCGGCCAAACCTAGGCCGAGAACCTCAGAGACAACCTTAGGATCACAATATGATGCAGCATAGTGAAGAGCATATGCTTCATTTAGAGTCACATCTGAGGACTCGGTCAGGAGAAGTTTTACCAGTTCAACGTCATCGGAATCCAAAGCCTTGTGTATTCTCTTTATTCTTTTCTCACGCAGCGGGTCTGGCTGCATGGATTTATTCTCATCAGGCTGAGGCTTGGTTCTATACAATTTGATGTGCTCCGCGACCTCATGGGGCACCTCCCTCTCGATAGATATGATATCGAGATCTGATCGTGCCACTCTATTGATGCATTCATTGAGAAGCTCAGTTGATTTGCAATGGAAAGCAACACCAAGTATGGGGATGACATCATCCACCAAAACTCTTCCAACAAAATTCAGAAGCCGCGTCTGGGATTCAACATTAATTACTTAAATGTAAAATAAAATTAGAAATGACCTGTAATACAAATAATGAATGAATGTGTGACTTTTAAAGTGTGTTGTGGTGATCATAGTGATGTTCAATTTTACATCATAATGACTACAATGATATTTTCAGTGACAGTAATGACCATGTAGTTACATTTTATTTCATGAGCTCTATTTTAGTAAGATATTAAGGAAAACCTCAAAAAATTATTTACACATTTTATAGTATTTGACCAGGTAAAATGACTAGTCTTCATGCTACTCTAACACAACTGACTAAAGTTATTATGCAACACGAAAATAGCAATCCCGAACTAAATGGCAATGCAATGTGGCTCATTCAGGACTAAGGGTCTGTCTGGATGGAGGGTTCTATAGGAGGTTAGCGTTTATCTTGAAACGTAATAATTGTGATCGTATAAAAGTTGAAACAATAACCTAATATGGGATCGTATAACATTTCATTTCAATAAACTCCGGTTCACTTTTATAGACATTCTAATTATCAATGAATAGACTTACCCTGTAAAGACAAATGCAATTGCAAATATACCTACTAAGCATATCTAAAGAGTAAAGACATACCTGAAAAAGAGAAACAAGCTCGGGCACCTGAAATGCTGAAGAAGCAAACATCATTTCCACGGCAAAGTTGATCGCGGGCCTGCAGGAATCATGTGTACATACAGAATCAACGCAAGTAGAGGCCTCGGGCGGAGAAGGCTTTAGTTTCCCTGTATACAAATAGCTGAGAAAAGCTGCAATAGCCTCATACCCTACCTTAGTATTACCATCACCAAAAGGCAGCAAATCCTCCACAAGATACCTTGGTCTAACACCACTCTCGTTGTCTTTACTGAAAAGCAAATGAAAGAACCTACTCCTAGCTGCTAATATACACCGGTGGATGCCTATGCTAATCCCCTCAACAACAAAATCGGCATCACAATAACCTAGACTGGAATCAGACAAGAGGCTCTCCAGACAATTGCTGAGCTTATTCAGACTGATCATTTCTAGACTGAAACCTGGGTTATATCCGCAGGTGTTTGGCCCAATCTGCCCAGTGGATCCATTTGATGTTTGGGGGGATGAAGTGAAGCTTATGGATGATGATGGCTCAAAAGAACTACCCATATACTCAGCTAATGGATGGTGATGACATAAAACGAACAGGTCCCCCCTCAATCATAAAACTCCTAATCCCTAAATCTATACATTATTGGTTGCAAAATATTCCAGATACAAAATTCACCCATCCATCGAAGGTTTAGTAAAATAGAAACCCACATGAATCTGTTATGGTGATATGCTTGCAGATACATACATACATGCACATAAACACATGGACTGTTGTTTTTGCCAACACTCGAGAGATGGAGGATAAGAAGCTGATCAACACAAACTATTGTTTTTCCTGAATCAAGGAAAGATCCAAAGGGGAAAACCCCATCAAGGATTAGACCCGGTAAGACTTGATACACACAAAGGAAAAGAAAATTGGTTCAAGTGGTCCACTTCCAACTTAAATCCTACGGAGTATCTTTCTTGGAAACATTTTCTCAAATGATAACCCTGTAGTCTTCACACAATGTGAAAGTTTTGCCGGAAATGTGAAAGTTTGTTTTAAACGGCAATGTGATACGAGGATACACACAATTTAAAACTTTTTCTTGTTTCCTGTTAAATAAATGTTTGGAGGATTCATATGGCGAAATCATGGTGTGGCGCTAACACAAAAAGGAAAATGAAATGATTTTGGGGTCCAAATATTTTCCAAACTAAAAAAAAGAATTTATAAAATCAGGGTCTGATTACTTATAATTTCCAAAAAGAAAAATTGATAAGAATAATCTCACATTTCAAAGGTCTTCTCATAATAAACTCAAATTTACATAATTCCAGAATAATCTCACATTTGCACTTCACCTTCATTCTGGACTTTTTTTTTTTTTGAAAATCTTATATAAATAATTCCACCTTTGTAGGTCATCAATAGGTTAGGGTCCAATGAAAGAAGATGAGGTACAAAGGTGGGATTATTCTTGAATTACGTAAAGGTGAGAATATTATGAGAAGACCAGTAAAAGGTGGGATTGTTCTTGTCAATTTTTCCTTTCCAAAATACCCCGTATTACTCCAGTTAATCAGGGTTAACAAAACCGCCAAAAAAGGTTTTGGGGGACCCACCGGAAAAAAATCAATCTTTTTACGGAGTATTTAAGTTGCTATAATACTTTTATTTAAGTTGCTATAATTTTTTTATTTGTACTTCGATTATTATAAATTTTTATTATCTTTCATATGACATAAATATTAAATATGAAAGAATAAAAAATAGTTTCATAAAAACTTTTGTTTTTAAAAATGTTGTAACTTTTTTATTGTACTCTGATTGTTACAAAAAATATATCAGTGAAAAATTAATAACTTTTTATTATCTTTCATATGACACTAGTATTGCATATATAAAAATGAAAAATAATTCGACACTTTATAAAGCTTTTGTCTTTCAAAATGATGTAACTTTTTTTATTTGTACGCTGATTGTCATAAAAAAAATCAAACTCATAACTTTTTAATGTCTTACATGTGACACTTATATTGCATATATTGGGGGGGGGGGGGGGGCTTCTATTTCTTTATGACCCAGGAAAACCTAGAACGTTAGAAGTGGAGAACTTGTGTTGGGATACTAGGCCCCGAACCAGTACAGGCCCAAATATACCTGGGGGGCCAAGTCAGACACGTGCCATCAATATATGTAGCCAGCCCGGGACAGACGTTCGGCATCCCCCGCACGGGAATTGCCATACGGTTTGTTCCCCTCACATGGGCTTCTCTACTCAATCTAGCAACTGCTTATAACAAAACCCCCAAAGCAATTGGCGAGAAATCGCAGAGTTGGTGGGAAGCGCATTTAATGCACCAAATATCGAAGATTTTATGGTTGGGGGTCCATTCACTCAGGGTCGGCCATGTTACCCCCTCACATACCAAATTTTAGAATAAGTAACAGCATTTATGTCATTGGTAATGATTAGCAACTCCGTACGCTTAAGAATTAGACTTCTCTCTAATTATTCTAATAGCATTTTGCTTATTTTAGAGGGTCAGAGCACCGCTCGACAGAAGTGTGTAATCGTTCTGTACACTTGAATAGGACATGGTTCCACTTTGCCTCTAAACATATTGTCTTGCCATGTTATTTCCTTGCACTTAAGCTCACTGAATAATCTATCAATCAACTGATTTTGATGAAGGCCAACGGGTTGTGTTGAGCCTTTGAACACCGAGAAAACAAACCTCAACAAACACACACATAATATACATATTATATGTGTGTGTATATGTTTATATATTATGTGATCTTTTGTTATGGGGTTTGTCCATAAATCATACAAAAATAAATGATATGGACAAATATAGGACCACTTTTAAAAAATTCCAAAAATGAGACTAAACTCCTACCAGTGAAAATGATCAATTCGAGCAGTGACTTATCTGACCAGTGACCAACCCGACCAATGACCAAATCAACTAGTGATCATGACCAACCCGTCCAATTACTATGACCAATCCGACCAGTGACCAACCCAACCTGTAACACCGTCCCCAAATGTATTTACTTTTAAAGTGAATATTGTATTTTGACCTTATGGAATGGTTGACGGATTTACGAGGTTATGAATTTTTATTAATTTTTGCGCGAATAGTAAGTTCGCGCGTGGGGCCCGCACCGGGAGCGGGGGGCCGCCCGATATTCCCGGGACCACATAAATTATTCATCTTGGTCTAGATAATATTTATATGGGGGTGGATAATTCTTTTGAACCATGGAAAGGTCTTGAGTTGACCGATTGGTCAAAAGAGGCCCAAATACCGGTATTGGCAATCTAACCGATAAAAGCCCGAAATTGGATTTCGGAGGCCTATAAATTTAAGTTGGGAAATGTATATTCATTTTAAGGGTCATAATGATTGGGAACATGTAATATATCTTATTTGACCCGATAAAATAAAATATATTTAAAACTGTCAGAAAAATACAACTTTCGGGACAAAATGTACACTTCGGGACAAAAAGGGTTGACCTCCCACATGGGTGGGGGCCAACCCACGAATTTAGCCACATTTTTCAAGGCATGGGTCGGCTGATATGAGAGGGAGGTGGGAGAGAGAGCTGATTTGAGATGTTTGGCATCAAAACAAATCATGGTGGCCCTCCTTTCCTTCACTCATTACTCAATTGAGACAAATGAGCATTCCTACTCCTCCCCCTCCTCACTCATTCGGCCAACACTAAGGAAAAGGAGGAAAGAAGCTCTGCAACTTCATCTTTCATAGCCAAACTCAAGCCAAGCTCAAACAAGAAAGTTGATAGGAAGTTAAAGGAGGAAAAAACTAGCTAAAGGTGTGAAAGTTAAGGTAATGACCCTATCATAACTTCTCCTTTTTTTTTCCTTCTATCATATGAGATACATATCATATGGAGCACCCTTGAGGTTGTTCTACATGCTAAGGGTGTAGAATAATGGGTTGGAGAGTGGTTCTATGCCCAAAAACGGACATAGAGACCAAACCGACAAGTTCACCGGAAAATAACCTTTTAAGGGTTATGTGTATTGATTAAGGTTTTATGATGTTAAAAAATTGTTAGGAACTTGATTTAGAGTATCTTTGAGCTTCGCCGGAGTTTCGCCGGAGTTGGTCAAAGTTGGCCGGAGTTGGTCAAAGTTCACCGGAAATAGTCAAAGTTCAACCGCGGAGCGTAGAACACGCTTAAGCTCACTTAAGGTGAGGATGACCGACTATATTGCTTATAATTATTGGGTTAATTTCATAAGATTACCTAAATGAATTATATGTGTTTGGCATGATTTATTTATAATATAACAAAATGCCTAAATGAGATTATTATTGTTTATGAGTAAAAGTGCATAATATACAAATTTATGAATAAATTGTGTATGATTATGTATTATGAATACAATGGTATAATAGCGTGCAAACTATAAATGAATTGTGATAAATATACTTTTACCTCATGTAAGGAAGTCATGGAAGGATAAAAGTGATATTTTGATATTAGAACCAAGTTATACTTGAATGTGGAATTAAATTGAAATAGCCAAATTACTATGAAATTGCATTGGTTTATTAAGGTTAAATGACTAGTATAGAAATACTAGCCGGGGATGTTAGCATGAAAAGTGATAGAACAAATCCTAGGGGTTTGGATTGTGAATGATGTACCTTAAGTAGTCATATGAAATGTCTTAAGGTAGAAATGAGTAAACGCTAAGTTACCGTAGGAGTGGATCATGAAGGTTACTCATAGTAGAGGAACTCTAGGCATAGAGATTGCTTAGTGAATTAGTATCGTGACTAGAGGAAGCCTCGAGCACGATGAAGAATGACTGGAGGAAGCCTCCAGCATTCGTGTAGGACGACTAGAGGAAGCCTCTAGCGTAACGTAATGTGACTGGAGGAAGCCTCCAGCACAACGTATGTAAGGTGATTAGAGGAAGCCTCTAACACCAAGTGGAGTGACTAGAGTCAGCCTCTAGCACGACAAAACATGACTAGAGGAAGCCTCTAGCATGGTAAACTAATATAGATGGGTGTGGCTTGAAGTCACGGGGAAGGGGTTAAATGTTTCCAAAGTAAACATGGGCCTTCGGGCGATTACTTGACTATATATATAAAGTAAGTATACTTTCAAAAGAGGGTAACCACGGGTTATGACCTATAATATAATAACATCCTAGATTGAGGGTCTTGGAAATTGAAACTTTGATTATACTTAGTATAGTTGTCATTGTACTTGTCAAATGCTTCCAAGTACTGACCTCCCCTTCACGGGGGAGGCCACCTCACAGTTTCAGGTAGAACTTGAAGGGTGCTACCATCACCGTTGCTTCGGGCGGATTATCAAGGAGAGGAGACGTGGTTCGTGCTTCCTCCGTTTCTGTTTTAAAACATTCAAATTAATGCTCATGGATACTATTTTCCGAATAATTATTTAGGGCTTGCACGCCCGTGTTTGCCACGTGTGGCTCGAATGCTTGTATTAATATTTCCGCTGCTTAATTAAATGATTTACATTGTGATTGTTTATGGATGTACTAATGTGAATGGTATTCAAGACGCCTTGTATAGTATGGATGAGTTGGACTGCGGTTGACTATTCGTACTGTACGGCGGGTTGTTGACGTGTCCGGGAAGGTCCGGGGCGTGACAATTTAATTGGTATCAGAGCCTTAGTCCGTAAACTTCATAATGAAGCTTCAAAATCCCTTTTGAAAATGATTTTGAAAACCATGAGCATAAAAGTTTTGCACTTATAGAACTTTTGGTACTTGAGTTGCAAAGTCTCTAATTGTTAAGATGGTACCCTTAACAATTGGTATGACGGTGATTTGAGCCAAAAGATGTCTTTAAGTGCCTATCCGTCACTTGACATTTGATACGGGTCTAATGACTCCTTCTCTATCTCTTTCAGAAATGGAACGCACCGGTAAAGTCACCCGACGAAACCCGACTGGCCAGGCGCCGGGAAGGTCCCAACATGGCAGTCGAGGGGCATCAAGGGTGTCTCGGGGGCAGGGCCGTGCAGGCCACTCGCTGACCGTTAGTGACGGTCATGTTGAAACAATTGACGAGCATTATGAGTCCGAGGAGGATTCAACGTACCGACCGGGAACGGAGCCGGTTGAAACCCCATATGATGGGGAAAATGATGACATTAGCGAGGGGAGCGACGATAACGACGCTCTAGAAAGGATTGAGGAATTGCTCCGGCAATATCATCAAGATCGCCAAAGGCGCCGGGCAAGGCGTGCTTCGAAGGGGGCTTCGAGGAGAGGGAGCCGTGTGAGTCCTAGGGGAAGCATAGAACCCCAAGGAGGGCGAGGTGCCGAGGTTCCTATCATAAGAATCTCGAAGTACCTAAAGGAGGCGAGAGACTTGGGATGTAAACCGTTTGATGGAACGGGAGACATCTCCGTGGCGGCCGAGTGGATCAAGAGATTCAATGAAGCGGCCCTGGATATGCAGCTGCCACCGAACATGAAGTTGAGAGTGGCCACAAGACTACTAGAAGGCATGGCGTCCACATGGTGGGACGGAGCTAAAGGGAAGTACGGCGAGGCCGTCACCTGGGAGAATTTCCGACAAGAATTCTTTAGCCAATACTACTCCGACTTTGAAGTGAATTTAAAGAGGAGGGAGTACACAACCTTAACCCAAGGAGGTGAGTGCACAGTGAAGGAGCTTGAGCACAAGTTCAGAAAACTTGCTGAGTTCATACCGGAATACATTTGTGATGAGAACCGGATGGTGAACCACTTCTGGAACGCCTTGGACCTTGATATACGTGAGAGGGCAACACAATTGCCTAATATGACGTTTAGCCAAGTGGTCGAACAAGGCTTGAAGGGGGAGAAGGAATGGGAGGAAAGGAAGCGAAGAAATGCCGAGGAGGCAAAGAAAAGAAAATGGGAGAACCATGGCCCCCAGGGTTCAAACAAGAAGGGGAATCACGGGGGAGGAGGATCCTTCAGGGCACCCGCACCACCATCAAGGGGGAATCCCAACATGAGTGGGCAGAACTCGGGATCACAAGCCCCGACGAAGCCTAAGTGCAGGAATTGCAAGAGAAATCACGAGGGCAAATGTCGTGATCCCCCACGGTGCTACCAATGCGGAGATACGGGGCACATAAAGCCCAATTGCCCTCAACTTGGTGGGAACCGGTCATCAGGGCCAAGCAGTGCAACCATGGTGAGTAGAAACCGGGGTGGGGCACCCAATGCAGGCACAAACCACGGCGGGGCAAGTACAAGCAACGCACCCTCCGTGAACCAAGGAAGGGCTCAAGCGAGAGTCTACGCGATGACCGAGGCGGATGCGCGAGCAAACCCGGACTCCGTTGCAGGTAATACACGTATTCCCATGTATTTCTAGGCTTAGTTTGATCATATACACCGTTGGGGGTTGAGTTCGGGCCACCCCGGGACCAAACGGAGCGAAATTGGGCGAAATTGGGCGAAATCGGGCTGATTTCTGCCAACGCACTACAGGCTGGGCTGCACGCACGGCCGTGCGTTGTCCGTGCGTACCTCCGTGCGTTGGTGGCAGTAGCACCCCGGAGGAAATTCGCTGCACGCCCGGCCGTGCGTTGTCCGTGCGTACCTCCGTGCGTTGGTGGCAGTAGCACCCCGGAGGAAATTCGCTGCACGCCCGGCCGTGCGTTGCCCGTGCGTCCCTCCGTGCGTTGGGGGCAGTAGCCTCCATTGGTAAAACAAGGTACGCACGACCGTGCGTACCCCCTACGCACGCCGTGCGTGGACCCCTGGCACCTGAAACTTTATTTTTTCGCCCCGTTCTTCTACGTTTGGACCCCCGTTTGATCCCAAACATTAGTATGAACATAATAACATCTTAATGATGTGTAAAAACATTAGAAAATGTATCTTACATGGTGTATGGATGTAGGAACATTAAAGATTAATGGGAGATGTGCGAGAATCCTCATCGATACTGGGGCGCAACGATCATTTGTGAGTGAGGCATTCGCCGGGGGGTTCAACGTACCCCTGATACCGATGGCTCAAGCCCTATTGGTATCCACACCCCTAGGGGAAGACATCGAGAGAGATAGCCACTATCCATCGTGTGAGGTGGAAGTGGAGGGCCAAAACTTGTCGTGTGATTTCGTGCCGCTGAGTATGATTGAGTTCGATGCAATCCTGGGTATGGATTGGCTTGAGAAGCATCATGCTAGGGTCGATTGTTACACGAAAGTACTTGAACTCGAAGGCAATGAAGGGGTAACCTTACGCTTCGAGGGGGATAGGGCAAAATCCAATAGTTGTATCATATCCGCTGTGAGGGCTAAGAATATGATGAGGAAGGGGTGTCATGCATATCTAGCATATGTGGTGGACAAAACCAAAGAAGAGACGAGCATTGATGAAGTTAGGGTAGTATGCAAGTATCCGGACGTCTTTCCTAAAGACTTACCGGGACTTCCACCCGATAGGGAGATTGAGTTCGTGATCGAGGTCGAGCCCGGCACCAAACCAATCTCCATACCGCCATACCGTATGGCACCCGCTGAACTTAACGAGTTAAAAACCCAATTGCAAGAGCTTTTGGATAACGGTTTCATCAGACCAAGCCACTCCCCATGGGGAGCACCGGTCCTTTTTGTGAAAAAGAAGGATGGAACACTTCGAATGTGCATTGACTATCGTCAACTGAACAAGGTCACAATCAAGAATAGGTATCCCTTGCCTAGGATTGATGACTTGTTTGATCAACTACGAGGAGCAACCGTGTTTTCAAAGATTGACTTGAGGTCGGGGTACCATCAACTGAAGATTAAGGAGGATGACATACCGAAGAGTGCTTTCCGCACGAGGTATGGGCATTTTGAGTTCCTTGTTATGTCGTTTGGGTTAACAAACGCCCCGGCGGCATTCATGGACTTGATGAACCGAGTATTTCACAAATACTTGGACCGATTCGTGATTGTGTTCATTGATGACATCTTGATCTACTCAAAGAGTGAGGAAGAGCATGAGGAGCACTTGATACTCGTTCTTGAGACACTACGGGAGAAGCAACTCTATGCCAAATTTTCTAAATGTGAATTTTGGCTTAAGGAGATTGGCTTTCTCGGGCACGTGGTTTCGGGATCGGGAATTGCTGTCGACAACAAGAAGATAGAAGCCATCACCGAATGGGAGATGCCAAGGAACGTCAAGGAAATTCGTAGTTTCCTTGGATTGGCAGGATACTATAGAAAGTTCGTGGAAAAGTTCTCTGTTTTGGCATCACCGTTGACAAAGCTCACTCGAAAAGGAGCTAAGTTTGTATGGGATGACAAGTGTGAGAAAGGATTCACTGAACTGAAGAAGAGATTAACCGAGGCACCGGTACTTGCATTACCCAAACAGGGTATGGGGTACGATGTCTATAGTGACGCGAGCATCCAAGGGCTTGGATGTGTGTTAATGCAGGAGGGGAGGGTAATTGCCTATGCTTCACGACAGTTGAAGAAGCATGAGGTAAATTACCCCACCCATGATCTAGAGTTGGGAGCAGTGGTGTTCGCACTGAAGATTTGGAGACATTATCTCTACGGAGAGACATGTCACATATACACTGACCATAAGAGCTTGAAGTACGTGTTTACTCAGAAAGAGTTAAACATGAGGCAGAGACGGTGGATGGAGTTGATAAAGGACTACCACCTAGTGATTGAGTACCATCCAGGCAAGGCAAATGTAGTGGCAGATGCTTTGAGCCGGAAGAGCTCAACTGGGGCATTGATAGCTAATTTGAGGGCATTAAGAGCCCAACTGGAGGTGTCCAGTAATGGTGCCTTATTGGCACGGTTTGAGGTGAGACCTACTTTGCTTGATGAGATCAAGAAGGGTCAGGAAACTGACGATGAAATTGTGAAGATCAGGGAACGCTTGCAAGCGGGACCGGTGGAGGACTTCAGAGAAAGAGACGACGGTCTTTTACTATTTCGTGACCGAGTGTGTGTGCCGGCGGATGATGAGCTCCGAAAGTCCATCTTAGAGGAAGCTCATTCATCGGCTTATGCCATGCACCCGGGGGGCACGAAGATGTATCGCGATTTGAAAGAAAGTTACTGGTGGTCCGGTATGAAGAGAGAGATAGCCGAGTACATCAGTCGGTGCCTTACTTGTCAGCAAGTCAAGGCAGAGCATCAGCATCCAGCTGGGTTATTACAGCCACTTTCCATTCCAGAATGGAAGTGGGAGCATGTGACTATGGATTTCGTGGTGGGGTTGCCACGGACCGTGAACAACTATGATGCGGTATGGGTAGTAGTTGATAGGCTCACCAAGAGTGCTCACTTTTTGCCTATTAACATCACTTACCCTCTTGAAAGGTTGGCGAAGCTATACACGGAGGAGATTGTGAGATTACATGGAGTCCCAATATCCATTGTCTCGGATAGGGATCCACGATTCACATCCCGATTTTGGCCAAAGTTTCAAGCATCTCTGGGGACTAAACTGAAGTTTAGCACAACTTTTCACCCACAGACGGATGGACAGTCCGAGCGGGTGATACAGATTCTGGAAGACATGCTTAGGGCATGTGCTTTGGAGTTCCAAGGAAGTTGGGACAAACATTTGGCCCTAGTGGAGTTTGCCTATAACAACAGTTATCAGGCAAGTATTGGCATGCCTCCATACGAGGCATTGTATGGGAGGAAGTGCAGAACACCGTTGTGTTGGGACGAGGTTGGCGAGGCCAAGCTCGAGGGGATTGAACTTGTTGAAATCACCAAGACTAAAGTGAAAGTCATTCAGGATAGACTCAAGACTGCCCAAGATCGGCAGAAGAGCTATGCCGACAAACGACGCAGGCCATTGGAGTTCGAGGTCGGTGATAAGGTCTTCCTAAGAATTTCTCCTTGGAAGGGTATCATCCGATTTTTATCGAGGGGAAAACTCAACCCCCGATACATTGGTCCGTTTGAAATCCTTGAAAGGATTGGGGCGGTGGCTTACCGTCTCAAGCTGACGCCGGAACTTGAGAAGATACACGACGTGTTTCATGTATCGATGCTCAAGAAATACGTGAGAGATCCATCTCATATTCTTGAGAAGCCACCGGTGGAGATACGTGAAGATCTACAATATGCAGTGGAACCGGTAAAGGTTGTGGGTCAACAGGTGAAGAAATTGAGGAACAAGGACATTCCTATGGTAAAAGTCCTTTGGAGGAGTGATCGGGTCGAGGAAGAAACATGGGAGACTGAGGTCTCAATGAGAGAGCAATACCCTTTTCTCTTCGATTAGACACGTGGATTTCGGGGACGAAATCCCAAATAAGGGGGGGTGAACTTGTAACACCGTCCCCAAATGTATTTACTTTTAAAGTGAATATTGTATTTTGACCTTATGGAATGGTTGACGGATTTACGAGGTTATGAATTTTTATTAATTTTTGCGCGAATAGTAAGTTCGCGCGTGGGGCCCGCACCGGGAGCGGGGGCCGCCCGATATTCCCGGGACCAC